ACCTATTTGTTTTCATTTTCCTATGAAGCTGAATTTATTCATAACTTCTACATGAGAAGAAGAAAGTAGTTGAAATGGCCTTCAACTAGACATTCAAATATATTGATCCGTATTATCAATTTACAATATTTACTTACATTAATATATCGACTCGATATATTCGAGTGAACTCTATACAAAAGATATCACAGACTGAGTCTGACACATTTGTTTCAATTTTTTACTGAGATGTTTTACTGACTATGGACGATAATTGCAAATTAACAACTAAATTGTTTGACAAAAGAGATAACTTCAGATTTTCCTTTGACATATTCCTTATTTATTTAGAAATATTACGCTATCACCTGCATATATATATATATATATATATTTTTTGGTCTCAAAACTTATTCGATATTCAAGTGCATGATCAGAGTACGATTAGTTTTTTTTTAATTCAGGCAGGCTAATGACAGGTAAGTTGATGTTAAAGTGATTTCAACAACTTCTTTAAAAGTCACGATTTCGTAGATTCTATGGTCGTTATAATGACCTATCTATCAAACATAACCTATCACTGGGTGTTCTTTTGGCTGATGCGTTTCATGATAATTGTTCGGTCTTTGTTTTTTATACTGAATTTGATAAGAGAATATCCCTACTATCAGATCAATTCATAGGTCTCATGGTGGGGGTAACCGGTTGACAAAGGATTACCCATTTTTTCATTTGTGACACTACAGCAAGAAATACAAAAATGTATATTTTTCAAAGACACAAACAATTAGAAATCATGGAAGCAAAACTTGATCTGTTTTCATCAAGGAAGACCCACATACCAAAATTGTCCTCAGTACATGTATCTGCTCGTGTGAATAATAATGATAATAATAATAATAATAATGATAACCGAACACTATATATGGAGACTGCATTTACTTGATAGTAAGACATCTAGACAGGGGAAACCTAGATTCCTTTCTCGAGAATTTTGTCTCACATATGACGTCATGCCTCTTACTTTTCAGTTTCTCGTCATTTTTGTTGATTACCAAGCTTTTCTTCCATCGGATAACCAGTCAAGCCATCCTTGAACCTCTTTTAAAAAGTAAAAACCAGTGTCTGAGATAAGCTTATGTCATTCCAACTTTTCCAACGTAATTCCCCGCTTCACACGTTACTGAATGATAAGTTGGTGCTCCGACGTCGCCAGTTTTGACAATATCTAACGTAAAGTGCATCAAAAAATTGCCATTTTTAATGTCAAACAAATGAATTTTCACACAATAATACCACAGATCATACAAATTTTTTTATCAATGTAAATTTGTCACAATATATTTCCATATAATCTGGTAATAAACAAAACATCGCTGACAATGCAATAAAAAAACTGCGGTGCGCCGACCACTTTTTTTGATTGTCTTTGAATGTGATTTCCATATACAAATAAAATGAAAATTTCATAATATTATGTCAAAAATAACAAAAATATAACTTTCCAACATTGTGCAAAAATGAAAAAAATGATCAGATACTTCATGAAATATTTAAAAAGTTCGCTTTTTTCTGGGACAACCCTCGTTAAGAATGATTTGGCATAAAGATTATCGTGTATTAATCGTGTATGTATTATTGTTAAGAAATCTACACTCTAATTAAAAGAACACCAGGGATGTATCGGTTTAATCATTTACAATGTAATGAACCATCAGCTGCGATACATACAGAACAATGTGAGCAACGAGAGGTCTTCCGTCCGAAAAACTATTTTTTTGTGTGATATTATTGGCATTTAAAGTAACATTTTACACAAAAATTTACACAAAAAAGAAACATAATATACAAAGATGAAAAAATAAAATGGAGAAAAATGGATTGGGAAGGATACAACACAAATCATCTCATGGAAATTTAATATGGAAACCACTTCATGAGTTTTAACAATAACTTTTAGTAAAAGAAATAGTCTGTTTCTGATTGTAACTACTGATGTCTTTACGTTCTTTATTCTTCAACTTTTTATCATGCAATTCCAAATAAAGACGTATCCGTGTAATCCTTCTCTGAACTTAAGTCAATTTATCTACTATTAAAGGCAGGAACGATACATTATTTCACGCCAAACATCACGAGTAAATCTTTGCGCCTTTTTTTATTGTGTTCTATTGAATGGGTGTCCTGGCTTCAATAAAAAAATAAAAAATAATGCTGTTATAGCCTGATGTTCTAGCTTTAGAATGTACATTTATGGAATTATAAATATCGTACATGGGCAAGTAACACTAAAGCATTTCATTTGCAATGTTTTCCTACATAATTTATTTTCCTTTTTTACCTAAAAAGCGGATTATTCCGTTTAGTTTACACATTTTATAACGAGAATGGAGCGTTTTGCAACAAAACCTACTGTAAAGTTCTCTAAATAACACGTGCACAAAATTTGACTAAAAGTAAGAGTAATTATTAGAGTTTTGATTTATCAATTTTAAAACAAATTATATATTTCGCATTTTAAAAAGAGTCTCTATTAACCATAGTAAAATCAAAGAAAATCATTGAAAAACAAGAAAGCTGAAAATTCGACTTTTTTTATTCGTTTCCGGTAGCCATAGGAGATTCTACATATAAAGAAGTCATGCTCTTCTACATATCTCCAGTTCATATCTTTAGCCTTTTTTTAGATCCCGCACAGACTAAGTTTCACTTTAAAATCAGAAAAAAATATCCATAACTTGGAACCGGAAGCGAATTTTTCCAAACTTTTTTCAAGTGTAACAATGGCGTTTTAGAGGGAATTGTATTTTAAAAAATGTCACCACTGTGACAAAAATCTTTTATATACCAATTTAACAACAAACAACAAAAAGTATATAAATACAAATGAAATAAATCTCTCTCTCTCTCTCTCTCTCTCTCTCTCTCTCTCTCTCTCTCTCTATATATATATATATATATATAACCATTAAATTTTAGCACTTTTATTGTTCCATATCTCAATAGCCTTGGTTCAAAGGCTTTAACAAATGGTGAGCATTTAGATTTATAATTCTAGTTCTAAAATGTACATGTACCAAATGTGATGTTTGTTGTTAAATATTATTATAAATCTGTAACGTTTATATATCTGAAATAATTTAAAAGATATATTTTTTGAAATAGGACCAGGGAACAAAACACTTTCGTTTTAAACATTAAGTTTGGTATTTATAAATACGGTAAAGGTCAAAAGTTTGAAATGTGTTCTTGCGAGTCATATCTTTTTATAAGTATCAAGTTGGTATTTTTTAAAAAAAAGTCTAACATGAGTGTAGAGTATAGATCTTTAGAACTAATAGTTTAAGGAAGAAGATCAGACCAGTAAACAAAACACTTTCGTTACAAACAGTGACTTAATATGGTTTTATAAATAGGGTAAGGTCGAAAAGGTTCACATATATTCTTAAGTCATGTCTCACTAATAACCAAACTAATCTAAATTAGATGTTCAAACATCTACCAACATTCCATTCAGGGTCACGTCACCGTGACCTTTCAAATATAAATAAACATGAAAATTATTGTCAATCTAATTCAAGCTTCTGTATATGTGACTTTAAAAATAGTTCCTCATCTAAATCTTAATGCTTCTTATGCTCAGTAGTGTACATGTATCTTACATTGATTAAATTAGATTGTGGTAGATATTAAATATACTGTTATCCGCCATTCTTACCTGAATAATGAAAACTACAATGCTCAAGCTACACATGATACCCTGCACATCACAATCATGCATAGCATTGTTTACTGCAAAACTCAACGAACATTTAGGTTTGTCTGTTATAAAACATCCACGGCGGTGTGTTCATGGTTAATCGATAATTAAGTCACACTGCCATGACCCGAATGGAACGTTGTATCGGAACATTTTATTCTATTACATTGACTTCAAACAATATTTTGGTGTTTTCATTTCATTGTTTTTTGTTTTTTTTTTTTTTTTTCATTTCTTTTTTCAGATGACGTCCTCACATACATACACTACATTCATTTCAGTCCTTTTGATGACCTTTACCGAACAGGTAATGTGGCCACATTTGATTTAGTAACACACGTACATGTATATACAAATATAATAGGAGCTTAAATTAGCTAATCTAATCAAAAATTGAATGGTATCATTAATTAATAAATGAAGAAGATACCAAGACAGAAGGTTGGGTCTGTAAAATTCCTATAAATGCACAGTAATATATGCGGACACGGTGATTTTTTAGCTTTTAGAACAGTGTTTCTAAGAGAAAAATTTTCCTGCTCTGTTCATCAAATACATGTATCAAGGATTCTCAATCATACTTCATTCAGGGAAAATGTCATATGACATGGCATTTGAAACTATATTTATTAAATTCAATAAGCGTAAATTAAGATATTGTATGTAATTATGGTCATCAAATTTGTTTACTTAAACATTGTTGCAGTGGTTGATTTGTCTGATTAGACCTCTTGCATTTTCATGAATAAAAGTGAATATTATTACTAGTGTATCATTTCTATTGTGTACTAAAAATTATCAAAATTCATGAATATTCATGAGTTATTCAATCATGAACATTCCTGAATGAAATCAATATATATACTCATAAATAGTTCATTAACATGCATTGAACTATTTATTAGACAATTCTTTATAATGATGAATCTTCATGTATAATTATATATGGGAAAAAAATCATGAATATTTATCAGTTTTCTCCTATGAGCAGAAATTCATGATTTTAAAATGTCCAATAATAAGTTCATAGCATCTTCATGAACATTTCTTGAACGCTTCATGAATAAAATTCATGAATTATTCAAGGAAAAGTCATTAATTATTCATGGCTATTTATGAATAATTGATATTCATGATCATCTCCAAGAAGTATAATAACAATAGAAAGTAGGAATGAAGTAATATATTTGTGTGAACAGTCAGATTTGTCTCAATTATTTGTCTCAATTATTTTTCAAAATCCTTATCACTGTAGAATCAGCAACAATATCGATTTCCTGTGCATGAGGTAGATTCCTGTCCAAAAACTGAAGAAACGTGGCACAGAGTTGGCTTTAACATGAACTGCTCCTATGATGTCAAAGGGAGATTCCAGTACCAGTGCATTCCTAACAGGCATAAAACAGCTCTATTAGAGTTCTGCTATGACCGCATTATGGGTTTATATGAAAAAGGTGATTATTGTAGAGTTGCAATTAAATAATTGAAAAAAATAGTCAAAGCTACTAATTGTATTCGTCTCAAGTCACGTCTGGAATCCCCGTATGGTGCTTTCCTGCACATGGTTGCTTGATCAAATATAGTGTCACACTCCTAAACAATTGCACCTCTTATGTACTTATTCATGTTACACCAAAGAAAATACTTGTATCTATTGCAATTTCAATCAACAATATACAATAAATGTTACGTTAGCTTCAGATAGGTATTGAGAGATCTGATCAAAGATCAATTTCTGCCTATGCTTTAACCGCATTTGTTAATATTTTAATGAGCAACAGAATATATGTTCTCTTCTCAATCAACCACAGCTGGAATAGAGAGGATACATTTTAACCTTTGCTTGCAACAACTTAAAAGTTACGTATGTATTTTCCGATTTTCCGAATTGACAAAAGAATTTTTTTGAAAGTTCATCACTTTGGAAATTCGAAACAATTATGACGTTCTTTTCATAAGTTTAGAATAGATGTTTTGAATAAATCACAAAAAGGAAATGTTTTGGTACCATTATTTTTACATTTGTCTTCTCATATTTTGCATATATTCTACGTACCCTCGTTATATAGGATGTTTATATATATTCTATAGGGAACTGTTTACATCTATCAAACTCTAGAATACTTAATCAAGCAGACTGTACAACATTCATAAAAGGTTGTCCAAAGCAACCTTACTTCAGCAGCGATATATATCTTCGTAAGTATGTCTTAAAGTAAATCTAGAATTTAAGATTGTATTTTTCCCTCTGTATTGAATTATCGTTTGAGTTTTTAAGTTTTTATCTTTCATTTGCAAATGCCAACCTTGTAATTTGAAATGTAATTTCTCTGACACAATATTTGCGCTTAAGCAATTATAAGGAATTTTTTTCTCTCCCTTTTCAATTCATTCACAGTCTATTTCTCTTGCCGTATTTGCAATGTATAGTTTCTAAAAAGTGAAATACTAATATTAATGTAAAGCAGGAATTTTAGTTGGAGATTAAATTTAATCTATTTGGTTGTTAATAATCATCAAAGAAACTAAATTCCTCACGACATTCTTACATGATTTATATCAGGTATGGTTACTTTCGAAACAATGAAATTCAATTCCCACGAAAACCTTTTTAGAAGACATATTAGCGAAATTTTATTTCCACGAAAAAAATGTGCTTCTAAAGTATGTGGTACATCGGAATATATGTTATATGACAATATTTAATATTTAAATATGACAATAAAAATGTAAATTATATGTTCTGTATGTTTAGATTCAAAATGTCTTGAAATAAACACTCAAAGGAGGTGTTAATTTGAAGCTCCTTATTGCCCTCCCCTTGATCAACATTAAGTTTTTTTTTTTTTATTTTATATAAAAAAAATATTAATCATAGAAATATACTCATTGGGATAGAGATGATACATTTTGTCTCTTTGTCTATATTGCCAACAGCAACAATATATCGCTAAATACTCTCATAGCATACACTATCTTCTATAAGCACATAATGACACCGAAGAAAATATGTGTCAAAAGGAGGATCATTTCTACTTTGTGGAATAGGCATCAAAACGTACTTTACACATTGGCCCATATTATTGTTGGTGACAAAATATGCACTGGCAATTTGCACATCTGGTCGCAATAAAAATATTTTGAAATGGTTTTGTGAAAGGAGAGAGAGAGAGAGAAAGAGAGATTTTCGATCACATGAACTATAAGCCCAAGTGAGTTTACTGATCACCTATTGGAAGATCTACGTCCATCCATCTAGCTGTCTTTCTTTCAGCCTATAAACTTTACATAAAATGACTTCCTACGATTTGTGCAACCATTCCTCACTATAGTTAAAACTGAAGTTATAAATTTTCATATCTTTTTATTTGTTATCAACAAAATTAGTTTGTAAAAAAATATTTCTAATTTTATATTCAAGCACTCTGAAATCGTTATAAAATAGACAAAATCTTTTGCTGCCTCTCTTTATATTCCTCTGAAGCAAATCTGTTCAAAAACGTATATAAGAGAAAAATAATACATCAGATATACCGACGTCGTTATATATATATATATATATATATATATATATATATATATATATATATATATATATATATATATATATATATATATATATATATATATATATATATATATATATATATATATATATATATTAATAGATAGATAAATTAATATATATATATATATATATATATATATATATATATATATATATATATATATATATATATATATATATATATATATATATATATATATATATATATATATATATATATATATATATATATATATATATATATATATAAATTAATCTCTAATCTTAAATCCTGATGCAATTGAGATAGAAGTAGGGTTAGATTAAATATATATGAAAAGTGTTTTTTCATTACTTTCATTACATGCGCCAGCCTATGTTATTACTAAATGACTGATAGACAAGGTCTTCTGTAGATGAAACCAACATTTTTATACATTAATAAAAACGATGACCATTGTTTCTAAAAGCTGTACATTTTATCTACTGATTAGAAGAATGCCATTAATTAATGATATATCCTTTGCGTTTTGCTCAAATCAAGAAACAAACCAAGCAAAGCAACCAAAGCAACCAATTCAAAAGAAAAAGAAACTGATACAAATGGCATGTCTCAACTGTCAGGAATTCTACAGAGTGTTGGTATATTGTATGTAGTATTAGTGATTCTTGGTGTTGGTATCTTTCTTGTCTATGGTTCTTGGAATCTCTTTTTGAAAGAGGACAACGAAAACATAGAAACACGTATCTTGTGAGTAATCTTAATACATATAATATGAAACAGTGATTTCACTGTGAAATACTCATAGAATATTCTTTCATTTATTAGATATCTTGAAATATTCCGTGTACATAAAAAATCTTTTGTATAAACACCCGATTTTATCCAGTTTGTTAGAAGTGTTTTTCCAAATGGGTAATGACAATAATTCGTCTGAGGACATTTTTTCATATCTTTATACCCGCACTTTCTAAATAAAATTCAGGTAAATTCTTTGTACTCTGGTCTGCCTGTCCGTCCGTACATCCGTCACACATTTCTTTTCCCTAATACTCCTCTTTTATTCTAAACAGTAACCTTTATTCTTTTGGAATTTGATATTTGGTGTCCTGTAGATATGCAATAAGATTGTGGAATTTTCAGTTTTGCTCTAAAGGCAAAATTGGGGCAAAAATGACATTAATTTCTACAAAAACCTGATTCCCAGAACTTCTCATTCATTTAAACAGTAGGTTAATAATGGAAGTTGGTTGATGATGTCTTGTAGATGTGCAATAAAGTTTCGGATTTTTTATTTTTACCCTTGAGGTCAAACGCATTTGACTGATCATTTTTGGGAAGATTACTGGTGGTGTCCTGTGAATGTGCATTAACATGAATAAGGTTTCGAATTTTTATTCCCATCATGGGGATCAAATGGGGGTCGAAAAATGGCATTTTTAATACATGTACAATAAGCCCCTGGTTCCCAGAACTCCTCTTAAATTTTACGCAGTAGCCTTAATTATCAATATTGGAAGATGTTTGGTTGAGTCCTGTAGATGTGTCTTAAGGTTTTTCTATACGTTCACATGTAAACTTTGAATCTAACTCGAATTTACACTCCTCTTCCTTAGTGCAGTCATGTATACTTGTTAATTATTAAACAAAATTAGCTAATTATTCAAAATTTTGCTTTCTTAGTAAAAGAATAACTTTGTGATCTTTTTGTAGTAATTCTTGTCATGCAGCCAATAAACGTCTTTAAACAAAGAAAAAAGTGGATTTTGCAACGTGTGTATTAAAAAAAATATATATATTTTGTTTTTAGATGAAAAGGTTGTTATGTGTTAAAGGCCATTAAAAGGAGCAGACAGCCGCTAAGTTTGGAGTTAAAGGTGGTTGTGAAATTTAAATTTTATGTGTTTTTTTTATTTTGTAACGTGTTTATCCATATTAAGGTTATTCTAAACTCAGGGCTTTATAATGATTTCTATATCATTATGTATTTTATTGTGAACTGGACTTGAAGTTTCATTTCTGTACCATTTTTGTATACTTATTCAATTATTTTTGTAATCTGGACTACATGCTGATTTTTGTACACTTTGTGTTACCACATTCCACAATATTGTTGTCGAACTTTATAGTGTTTTATGTACAATAAGTGTAACCATGTACTATATTAATGTTAACTTTAATCCATGTTTATGTTGTACTTTTTATGTAACCATCGATTATTGTTAATTGAACGTATTGTTGATTTTTGTACCATTCGTTTGTTACCATGTACAGGGTATTATATTATTGTTAACAGGACTTGATTGTGATTTTGAACTACTTTCGTAAAGTGTTACTGTAAAGCAAATCTCGAATCTTACAAAGTGAGAAATTGACAACATCAGTTCAACAATCTTATTGTAGAAATCAGAGTAGTTCACCACTGTCATGATTTAGAATTTACTAGAATCGTTACACAATTTCTTTATTATTGATTTGACAGGTAAACAAAGTTAGCTCTCTAACTCTCCCAGAGTTCAGTAACCTACTGACATTAATCTGAAAGTGAGTCACCTATTATTCAAACATTTGTTCCTGTAGCTTAAGCACGTGACTCTTGGGAAAATATTTAACCTCAAGTTAAAACTATTTGATGTCCATCTGTAAAGTATATATTCAAAGGGGGAAGATTGTAATGGTTTAGAATTTAATAGAATCATTACACAATCTTTTTATATTTGATTTGACAGGTAAGCAAAGTTAGCACTCTGACTCTCCAAGAGTTCAGTAACCTACTGACATTAATCTGAAAGTGAATCATCTATATTCCATTTTCACAGGCTCTGAAGACTTTAAAATATACAATGATTTTGGTACAAAGACACTTGCTAACTGATATTCAATGCAGTCTGACTACACATATTTTTGCATATTAATAAAATATATGAAATATATTCCGGTGTTGTTTCAAAGATATTACAACCACTATCGAAAGAACATTTCCTAGATAGGTCTCAAACTCCAAGTTCATTACCAACCAGAGGCCAGCGCTTTTCTTCTCCAAACAAAAGAGTCCACTATACCTCAAATGATGTAAAGAGCCCAGTAAATGGTAATTTAATCAGAAAAGGGTCTTGAAAGCCACTAAGTCCACACTTGATCCCTGATGACAGTGGCATAGAAGATAAAGTCGTTACTATTAAAAGGACTTTAGGAAATATTAATGTCACCATAGGAGAGAAACTTATAAATGTAATTATTGACAGAGCTGCTATGATAACTATTGTCAATGAGAAAATAATGCCAGACGATGAAATAGGTGCAGCTGAGCTCATAAAGCTAAAGGGGCTGGGTACCCAAATAGTGCATGGTAGATTGCTCAAGAATGTTCCTTTCAAAATCAATGACTTTCATGGAGCTTGGGACCGGACTGCTGTGCCTTATTAATGGACGATGACATGATTATAAGACAAAACTTTCTGGACACCAACCACAGGATCATCAACATTAAGAAGGGTGTGCTGTTTCTCGAGGACAGGAAATTTCCTATAAATTTGATATCCGATCCACATTAAGGGCACCCAGGCTCTCGATTCCGGACACAGAGACAGTATGTGTACCACCTAACACTATAGCCAAAAAGCCAGTTCAACTAAATAAATTGTTACCCTATGACTACTAGTATGTTGTTTCCCCCTATATCTAAAATGTAAATGTTCTGGGGTCTCATACGCCAGGAAGCTGCTCTACAACAATAATTAGCCTCATAAACGATTCTAATACATCACTCAAGATCAACGGGGGGACTGTGGTTTGGTAGCTGAGACTTATGCTGAATTATGTCCAAATGACAGTTGTGTTCTTCTCATTAGAGAAATACCGACATCTTACGAAAGAAAAAAGATCGTTTATTGTATTCATAGCTGTATTAGCTGTATTATTGAATTCTTCAATGTTATTGTTATTGATAAAGTCCCCGCAAGATACCTCAAAACTACTTCTTGTCATAGTTGCTACCGTGACGCTACAATTCATTTCAATGGACATTTAAACGAGCAAAGGGGTTTCGAAAAGGGAAATGAAAGGAAAATGAAAAATGTCTTATTTTGAAGCATGAAGTCAAAGATTCTGTCGTACTGAAAAGAGGGCGAGGGAGGGGTAAAAAATAAACATAAAATGATGGCCTTAATGTTCATCCTACTGGCTAAACTTTGTATAAGTAATTATAAAATTTACAGTTAAACAGTTGGGTTTTTATTTATTAGAATTTTTAAACTGATTTTATAGTGTACAGTAATGTAACT